GGGGGGGGGGGGGGGGGGAGAGTCTCTCAGCCGAGGAGAGCCGTAAGGCCATGAAATGACAGTTAGTACGGATATAACCCCTCTGAGATAAACCTTTTCGATTGGTCGGACGTTAATGCTTATCACGTCTCCTGCGCTCCTCGTCCTTTTATTGTTCCCTTCTCATTTCTCATTTTTTCCCTCCGTCGACCGTGTTCTCTCCTTCTCTCTCCTCGTGTCTTCTCCCGCGTGTCTCGTTGCCGCTCTTCTTCCTCTCTCGTGCACCTTCGCCGGACTGGCGCGACGGCGTGTAATGGGCTTAAAGGCCGCATTCCAATAACTGAGAAACGAATTGTCGTGCACTCGCACGTTATCGCGCCCGAGAGACCAAACGGCGCTCGTGTATCACCGCAGCTTTTGTTACGGCGACGTGCCTTTGTTTTCGCCTCGTTTTCGCGATTCTCTCGCATAGCTGCCTTCTCGAGTCTAATACAGACCTGCAAACATCGTCGTCGGCGAACCTCGGCGGAGTGCGCGAGTGTCGCGGACCTCAATCGAAAATAGGTCGATCGTCGCGACGCGTCAAAACTGTGGCGGCTCGCGAGAGTTGCCAACCCGCTGTTCGCGACTCCTTTTTCACTGGAAGATGCGATATCAGCCGTTGATTCGCGTTTCCCGCGGGGAAGATAGTGCCCCGCTCCTTGGAAGCGGTTCTCGCGAGTCAGCGGAACACGTGGGAAGCGAATTCGCGATCCGCGGCTCGACAGCTTTGAGTAACGTTCCCCTTCGCTTTCTGTTGCAGGATGCGCTGAGGAGCCGGCTGGTTCGCGAGGTTCGAGATGTCCGCCGTAACCAGCCCGTATGGCCCGCGTAAGACCATTCTTTAGCTTCAAAAGCCGAATATCAGATAGCGTGCTAATGCCGGAGGTCCGTTCTGCGCGTAACAATAACGATAAACTCATCCCGGCACGGAGATCGTCCCGAGATCCTTCGAGATCTCGCCCACGATCGCTCGTAACGTTAACAACAATAGTCCGGCTTGCAACAATTATGCGAATCCCCGCGATTCGTGGAATGTTGATGCCGGGAAGGGATCCCGGTGCTGGCGATTGTTACGTCGATGAGTCTCCGCAACCGTGCTGGGAATTCGTCCTACGCGAATGGCCGTTCCGGCCCGTCCAAGTGAAAGCAGTTGTTGTGCGACGCGCCGCGGACGGACACGCGCGCGAATCGCGAGATTAATTTTGCTAAACTATCGCGTTATTCGCCGGCAGCGAGCGAGCGAGCGAACGAACGGGCGCATCCATTCCGGGAACGTCCGCCGAGCGCTCGAGTTCGCGGGATTGTAATTGACGCTAAAAGTTGATATCTATTAACTGCGATATGAGAAACGGGCAACGGTTGCGCGCCATCGCCTTGAAACGTCGCGGTATTCGTTACTTGGAATTAGTGACCATTGTCACCTCTCCGTCTCGCGAAAACGAGTACTCCGCGACAGTGTGCCGCCCGAGTCGCTTTCCATTCTTATTCGGCGTCCCCGAGTCATTATTCGCGACGGAGCCGAAGGGCTGCGTGTGAGAGATCGATTCAGCGAGCTAGCGATGCTAGCTCGAAAAGCGAGCCCGTGTTGGCGCGTGTTCGTAAGATCGGCCGGAACGGTAGGATTAGCGGTTAACCTAAACGAGACAGCGATCGAATGAATTCCATCTTTCATCAGCGGACATGCTTTCCGACTCGGTCTACAACTACGCGACGACCCGACGGGGCGCCGCCGATCAGGACAGCGACTCCCAGTACGAGACCCAGGCGCAGTTGCAGATTACCAGCAGCATACAGAAGCCGCGGAACAAGCGGAAGAACTTCAAGCCTATAAGCAGCCGGATGGCGGAGGTGTCGGACGAGTCCGAGAGGGACGATGATGAGCCGGAGGTCGTGGAGGAGAGCTCCAGCGAGATTCTCGAGTACGAGAGGAAGACGATGCTGTTGCCGGCCGAGGAGAGATCGAAGCAGAGGCTAAACAACAACGAGGTCAGCCCGATGGATCTCTCGGTCACCACCAGGCCGCCCTCCTCCGACGACGACAGTGCGGACTCCCTCAGGCACAAGTTCATCCTCGAGCAGCTGAGGTCGCAAAAATTGTATTCTCCCGGCACCGAGGTAAGCGGCGATTCACCCGACAGTCGTTTTCATTTATTTTTGTCGTAGAATGTTTATTGTCATTCCTCTCCTCTATCGCAATTTTTATTTTCTATTCATTTACTTGTGAACATATCGCGAAATGTTTAATTGATTTTTGGACGTGTTAAAAAAAATACCGCATCTCTAGCAATCTTCTTATGTACCGCCCTCAAAAGGATTCTTGCTGAACTAATAGAAGAATATTCCAACACACTTAAAAAGGAACTCTACTTGCAGTCTATTATTTTCTATTATCTCATATTCTAATTGAGTCTTTTTTTCCGAAAGAATATCTCTCTTTTAGTAAAGTGGACTATTAATCGAAAATCTAGATACTCTAATATTTTCCTCTTGGATCAAGAGGAATATTTACTTGAATGCCTTTTTACTAGAAGAAATTTCTATTAAGAATGAAACTTTTGTACTGTAGATTAAAGATGAAAGTCCTTCAACTTTAAGGATATTGTAGATTAAAGATGAAAGTCCTTCAACTTTAAGGATATTGTAGATTAAAGATGAAAGTCCTTCAACTTTAAGGATATTGTAGATTAAAGATGAAAGTCCTTCAACTTTAAGGATATTGTGCTTCGGATATTTTTCTTTTGCTTTTAGGAGAATCCTCTTGAAATCCTATATAAGAGGATTTCATCAAGAATGAGATTATAATTGTTTGAATGTTCGATATTCCATTTCTTATCTCGTTGGTGAATTTAATGAGTTCCACAATCGAAATTTTTTGTGGACTGCTCGCCGGTTTTTTTTCTATCTATATTTCATTAATTTCTTTTAATTTTCTTCAGTGAATATTTATCATGCAAAATGCTTATTTTCGAGCGTCTCGATATTAGCGCCAGTGTCGCGAAGCTCGCAATTAAAATTCGCAAATTAATTTTCGAGTCGCGATGATCAAGTATCTGTTATCTGCGATACACAGGCGAGAAGTCCAAACTCCGATTCGTCGGAGAGGAGCGGCAGCGCCGTCTTAGACGCGGAGTCGTCTCGTTTGGACGACCAGGACACCCAGTTCGAGGACGAGCGGGGCAACGACGCGGATGGCGAGGCCGAGATCGAGGAGCGGAAGCCCTTCGAGGGCATGAGGGAATACGCGGAGTCGACGATGCAAGAACTCCTAGCGATCTATGGGCTGGCAGGAGGCGAGCTGGCGAAGTCGGTCAGCAGGCAACTGCCGCCCACGTTCCTCAACCCGAGTGTTGGTCAGCAGACTCAAGGTTAGTACCTTCCAAAATCCAACGATTGTTGGCGATTCAGGCTCGATCGAGCTGGCGGCCGATGATCCGTGAGATCTCGCCGACGCGAACGAGCAATTTTCGCATATTAGATCTCAACGATTCTTTCGAACAGTTGTCGTACGAAAGACCAGAGTCATCGCCGTGATTCTGAACGCCATTGAAGCTATTGCTATCTTCAATTAATATAGACGGCTGTTGAAATGATCGACGATCCTAGCCGCTCGCGCGCTTTCCTCGTGAATCGAGTAGCAATTAGAACCGCCTGCATCGGCATCTGACAAAATTTGTCGGCGGATCAGAGAACGCGGATTGGTTGGCATTGAATTCGGGGTTGGCGCAGGGTCGATTGTTGGCCGCGGCTGGCCGACATTCGCGATCGAGCTTGGCCGGGGATCAATTTCGCGCCTCTCTCCCTCTTTCTGTCTCTCGCCGTCGGATTTACGATTCGACGCAAAACGCGATGATATCGTCACGTTTTCGGCAAACTCTCGCTCTCTCTTGAAATCTGCAATGATGAAAAGAGGAAACAGCGATTTAACGAGCGACGGAGCAGCTTCCCGTTGATCTGCCGGGAATCAGCGATCGCGCGCGGTAGCCGCGATGGTCGTTCGATACAATGCGAATTAGAAGCCTCCGCCGAGCGGCGGCGGCGGCGGCGGCGGCGGCGGCGGCGGCAGCTTACGTCAGCCGGTATCGCGATAAACGAATTCACTTCTCGCGATACGCGCGAGTTGCGCACTCCGGATGATGGAGGCCCGGCTGAGCTCCGGCCGGAGCTTTCAGCCGGGACTGTACGTGCACCAGAACAGAATGTGGCACTTACATATTGCCGGTGCATCGCATATGTGCGCACGTGAATATGTGATGGCTCTCGCAAGATGGCCGACTTATAACTCATAAAGTCGGTCGGTCCGACTGCGCTAAGCGTCGACTGCCCGACCCGCGATCGATGGATGCCTTCGAGATCAGCCAGCGTCATCGTTTCCCGTTGCGCGAGCGACGAGCGCGTGGGTTGACGCTCTCGAGAATTCCCTGCAGCCAGGAATTCTCGAGTCGCGCGCGCTGCTTTGGGTTACGCGCTCTTTCCTCTTAACACCTCGGGCGCGAATCGCTTCGATCTCCTCTTTGTATAAAACCCGTCGTTGAAACGCGCATTCTGCCAATCTTAATTGCGATACTGAAGCGAATTGAAAACTCAAGCGAGACAATTATAAATCAGCTTGTGCATTTTCAATCCAAATGGAATTTCCCTTCACTCTTTTACGCGAGTTCTTATGAAAAAGCAATAGTGATGAAATTTAAAATTTCTTGAGCCACCACGGTGTTGAGTATTAATCGACTCATATTTTCATTGACTCAAAATAATCGATGATTCCACAGCCTGAATTAATCAATCGTCGTATACGTAATCACGAATAATTTTATCGATTGATGACATTAATTATCGATCAAGGTATAATCAATCGAATAAAAATTTTATTAATAATTGACTTTAACGATCGATAAAACTGTTCGTGATTACATATACGACGACTAATTGATTGATTTCAGTCGACTAAAGTTTGAAGCGGTTCAATAGTTAACATGAAGCTCCAGTGGACAAACTGTCGATTGGTGCAATACGCGACACGATACAGTGTGAACAAAAAAGGAGAACGCGATACAATATCTGCTATGATATTATCGAATGACAAAAACCGAAACTACGGTTTAGCCGCGTCTCCTTTTCATTGTCGCGTCTACCAGCTGGCCTCCACCTACGTGACGAAGAACAAAAGACAAGTCCTCGCGGCGCGACATATCGTCGCGATCGATACAAAAATCGCGCGTAATTTATCATGCAAAAGAGAGTTTAAAGCGCGCTAAAGCGCCTCTCGACAATGACACGTTACACGACGGCAAAAAAGCCGAGAGAGAACAGTACTTCTCTCCGCGAACGTCACTCGGCTCTGTGTGAACCTTGCCTCGGCGATCGCACGAGTAAATATGTTACGTATTTGTTTGTACCGTTCGGGACGTATGGTCGTTTCGCGTTAACCTCGGGGAAGATGAAATTCCATATTATTCGCATATCCAATGCGCCGCGCACAAGAGGACGATCCGAGACCCTGCTGACCAAGCGCGTCACTCATTTTCCTCATAGCAGTTAATAAACGCGTGAATTTACATACGTGACCTATATGTCCATTCTCTCTCTCTCTCTCTCTCTCTCTCTCTCTCTCTCTCTCTCTCTCTCTGTCTGTCTGTCTCTAAGCGCACGATACGATCAGCTGTCAAAGCGATCTGTCGTGACTCTCAGTGTCCAGTCGATCGCTCCATTTCGTGGCGCCGCGCGACATTAAAGAGACGTACAGCAAAGGGAGAGAAAGGGTGACCAGGGTGTTATACACGCGACCGTCACGCTGAGAGCGAGAACGGCCCGATAATCCGGCGCGAAGAAAACCAGAAAAGTCGACCATGCGCGCGCGCGCGGGCGGAAGAAGAGGGAAGAGACGACGGGCGAAGCTTCGTAGGTTCGAAGGGAGGATCGAGCGAGGGGCGAAGGGGCAGACACCACGGTGCCTCCGTGAACCCATTAATCATTCCACCAGGATAAAAGGCAGTAAGGATGAAAAGAGAAGACGGACAGTCGGACGGACAGCGGGCAGGCACGCAGACTCGCTGGAAGGAGCGCGCAGGAGAGACAGAAAGAGAGAGAGAGAGAGAGAGAGAGAGAGAGAGAGACCAAGAGACCCAGAGGAGGCAGGAGCAGGAGAAAGAGAGGATATTCTCTTCTCCTTCGTCTCCGTCCACTTCCTCTCTCGCGTCCGCGTGCGCAGGATCATTTTTTATTTTTGTCCTTTTCGAAATTCGTCGGACGCCTCCATTGTCAGGGCCCGCGGAGACTTCGAGAGACAGGCCTCCTCTCCTCTCTCGTGCCCCCGAGCGTCGTCCCGTCGCAGGGGCCAGATTCATTAACTGATAGCACGATTCCCCCGGCTCGGTTACGTTTTTTAACGATATCCGTCCGCAGCGCCGACTCGGAAGAATGATCGTCGAATGCCACCCGTCGGGCGAGAAAATCCGCTGCGTCCTCGAAATCGGCCGGCGGACCGGCCGCGATCGACACGGCTATCTCTCTTTCTCTCTCCTTCCCTCTCTTCCTCTTCCCTTCGCTCCCTTTCTCTATATAGATCGTCATCCAATTTAGCGACGCCTTAAAAAGTAATCGACGTTATACCGGATGATTATCTACTCGAAAAGGTACACACACGTGTCCCCGTCGAGCGCGCCGATAGGAGAAGAAATCCAGAGCTCGGGGCGGTTTCTCGATCCGGTTGTTTCTCGATCTCTATCTCGCGCGGCTCGCTACAAACCTTGACGAAAAATACCGAACGCGTCCCTCCTCAATAAAAGTTCTCGCGACAAAAAAGTTCCCGTTTCGAAAAGCGAGCCTGCGTTCTTCAGACATCACCGTGAGGAAACGGCCGCTGCAAACCCCTTCGTTAAGAGACGCCGGATTCAAAAAGCCAGCTAACTCGACCGCTATTCAACGAATCTGTCGTATCTGCCGGTCGGGTTTAATTCGAGACGTTGGTAGCGCGCGCGCGCGCGCGCGAGGAAAGGAACGGGGAATCGGCGGCGGTATTGAGGCGAGGGGTCCCGGGGCGGGGAGTCTGGATCGTAGCCTGGTTACGAGCTTTTATGTCTCCCGAGCGCGTACCTCGCTCGCATGAGTTAGGTATGACGGTCTTCCCGAGGACGAATCGTTGCGAGATCGAAATCGGAGCTTCCTCTCCTCGTTCGGGGACAAAGAGCCCTCGCATCGGATCACGAGTGGCGTTGAAGACTTCAGGTGTTCGACCAGTCGCTGAATTGCGGTGAATTTTAATGCGCAAGTGAAAAATCGAAGGAACAATGGAGGATGAGAGCAACGAGAGAGCAAGAGAGCGAAAATTTCTTCACATTGTCATTTTCTTCTCCATGTCAATTTATTTCACGATATAAGATAAGAAACGACGAATTTGTGAAATTCTCCGAGTGATTTGCATCGCATCTCTCGACTAGAAATTTATCCCATGATCAGGTTGGTCCCAAACAGTTATCTTGTTATACGAGGTGATTTTAACGGGTCCTAATCATCGATAATATTTTAATTATGAATAAGCCTTTTAATTGATAATAAGATCCTGATCGTTACGCTGCGTTACATGACTCGCCAGGACTCGACAACAACCATTACAAATCAAATAACTGACTAGTACCAACCTGATCAGGACGATCTGAAATGAGTTTCTAGTCGGACTACTTCCAAATATAGTACTGTCAAGAAGCGTCACCGCGCCAATGACGTCGCTTAATTGCGATTTTTAACGGCGCGAAATTTTCACGAGAACACATAAAGTGTATATCTCGCGCTCTCGAGCGGGAATATTTGCCGCCGCGTGGGACGGAGAGGAGCAAGTGGAAGGAGCGGAGGAAGAAGATCGACGCCGCGAACCTTGCGAGACGTTGATCGGCGCTGGATTCTCTCTCGGTGCGACGAGATCGTGAAACGTTTTATGAAAGCTTTTATGAAAGGCTTTACGAGCCACGGACCGAACTGGGGCCCCGGCTATGCTTCTGCTACACACGTGCTGCCACGACGACGAGAGCCCCCCTGAAGGGGACCCGTCGTCTCGTCCTTCTCCTCCTACTCTCTTTATCTTTCCCTCTACGTACGGCCCTGCGTACGAGTCGCGTTTTCTCTATCGATCCTCGAAAGTACCTCGTTTTTCATCATCATCGTATCCCGCCGTCGATACCCGCGCGCGCCCCTCGCCCGTCGATCGCGTCTTTCTCGCCTCTTCCCCTCTTCTCCCTCCTTTCCTCCCCTTCTTTCTCTCTTCCTTTTTTCTCGTCGACCTCCTCGAACATATTTCACGGCCGGTATTTTCCACGATTGGAATTTTTTCGCAACATTGAAGGTAAGCTCGCAGATTGACGTTCAGCGAAGCCAA